TCAGATGTAATTTTGTTGTGGCAGACTTATTTTATACCAACGCGTTCTTCTTACAGAATTTTTTCAGAAATTACTGTTTTTTGTCAAATACAATCCCCTAGAAATTAAACGTGAGAGATATTTATTTTTTTTTATAATTACGCAAGGGAATCCGGGAAAAACAAGGTTTTATAGTTATATAACATTATATAAAATTATATATGAAATATATCCATATATAAACATATTTCCTATCATAATACATATACATATATAATTATATATAATTTTATATGTATAAAATATTTTTTTGCGGATATTTATTTATAAATTTGCGATTCAATCAACGTCGACTTTAATTAAATGTAAATAATGTGAACATAACATCACTATTCATATTCTATAATATTTGAAAAAATATCTATATTAGTCATGCGTTGTTAATAAATTTTTGTCTGATAATAAAGTTATTAATAAACTATCAAACGTGTAAAAGCCAGTTATTTTTTAATTTTTCTCAATTCGAAATATATTTGTACATATTACACACAATCTGTACAAATGCTCCAATTTATTTAATCTCCGTTTCGATAATGTTACATATCTAGTACATTTTTTGTTGTATTTTATTTTACGTAAACATAGATTTTTATATTTTTCTTTTGTTTATATCGATTATCTGTTTAAATATCACGTTACGCTGCATGTATCATTAAATTTAGCAATAAATTAATAAAATACTAATCGAGTCATGAAATAAAAGAAAAACTTGTATATTAAATTAATATTAAAAAAAGACAATACAGATAAATATGAAAGCAGATTTTGATAAAATGTGATAGTTTACCGTTTCCATGATGTCTTCGTCGATCGGATCGCCCGGCTCCGGATCCGCCCAATCCACCGCGATCTCATGGTCCCACAACATCACTTTGCCGGGTATAAGCTTGCGCCTGGCCATCGCGGCTGCCCGATGATCTTTGAATTCGACGAAGATAAAACCACGATTTAGATTGCGATCTTGGGCACTCGGGTAAACATAGATGTCCATGATGCCGTCCAGTATCTTGGTCAGCTCTTTCATGAATTCAGGCTTGGTCTTAGTCTTGGGCACGCCGCCGAAGAAGAGCCGACAGTTGTCCATGGACTTGACCACGCCGATGCGATGACCCCGCCGGATCTCGTAGCCGTCGAGACGCTCGCACGCCATCCGGGCAACCCGCGAATCCTCGAACAACGCAAATGCGTAGCCGCGCGTTGACCCGGAAAAATCGAGCATCAATCGCAACTCCAGAAGTCGACCCACTTGCTCCAGCAACGGCATCAGCTCGTCCTCGTAGCAATCGCGCGGCAAACGACCCAGGAACACCTCCGCACCCTTACCACGTTGCCGTTCACCTCGCGCTACTTCTGGTGCCGTCAACCGTCGCTGGCCGTTCTCCTGTACGCGAATTCTTTTTTTGCACAGTTGGGATAAGGTGCATTCGGGGAGACGTTATTAGCGCATTCTATCCTTGCTTGTTTTACGTCTAATCAACAACGAAGATAGAATGACAAAAGTAGCGCTAATTATATAGCGTCTCCACGAATTGCAAACGCACGAATAGTAGGAGAAAGGAGGTTTAGATGTACGTAAACATATTAATTATTTAACTTGATTAAGATAATTGAAATAATTAAAACGGAATAACGATAACTTCGTTTTAACTAATGAGTGGACATAAATGGGTGAGAGAGAATCGGATTTTTTAATAAATACATTCATTAATTCGACTCTGATTAGCTTTTTATTAACGAAAGACGTAATCTATCCAAGTTCATTATTTTATAAGTAGATTGATATAAGACAAATGTTATAGAAAGGTTCATACATTACTTATTACACTTTCATATAAATCGTTCTTGCCGACGTTCTCAAATCGTTATTTCAATATTTCTCAACTTCTATTCACAATGAAAATATAATGTTATGTCTGATGACATTGAAGGTATAAATGAAAACTAAGACAAGAGAAGTTATAAGTTAAATTTTTATAAATCACACTCATAAATATTTTTTCAATCCAGCAAATTAACAAACTAACGTAATTTTGATATAAAAGTAACAGCTTGTTTGCCGAGAAGTTATTATTTCAATTTCTCTTTGCGATAAAAAGATTATTCTCTATATATGTTTTTGACGAGTGTACCTTAAAATTTTATACATATATTAAGATAGTAAAAGATAATACAAAACATGAATTATAAGAAAATTCACTGCTATAAATCACTCCCGCCGATGTTCTCGAGTCATTATTTAAATTTGTCGAACGCCGATGGAAAAACTATAAGTTTTCTATCTGCTATATCAGTAGTGAAAAATAGGAGAGGTAACCAGTGAATGTCTGTACCTGTACGAGGTCGTAGTGCGTGCGACGCTGCATCTCCAGGAGTCGCATGGTGCGTTGGCACTCACCGGTGAGATTCGTATCATCGTGGTCACTCATCGTCATCGACGTGCAATCACGCGAGCTGCATGTAGCGAACTGATCTGCAGAAGGATCGGAGTTTATTGGAGGCGCGTAGAAAAAGTGGGGCGAGGTGAATTTAGGACTTAGGGCCCGATTCCAGGAAAAGTGCGACACAATACGCCAAATGTTTTTCTCGGTAAGTAGAGACTCGCCGTTTTATTTATAGTCCCCAGTGGGTTTATATATTTTCTTTTTTAAACTTCTTTTATGCCCAATTTCTTATTCACTTCCAGAAAAGTTGCGAATAACCTTATCCAGGAGATATCTCCATTGTACTCTGGGAGATATCTCTTGGATAAAGTTATCTAGAGGTGAAGAGATTGGACATTAGACTTCTATATATCGTCCTTCTAAGAAAAGCTGTTTGAAAATACAATATTTTTTTAAGAAGTTTCAAAAAAAAACTCCACTTGCATTTTACATTTATTTGTAACTCGGCGAGAGGCGCGTTTATATAAGAAAAGCCTGGATTGTTAATTATGTTAAATCATTATTTAATATTTTTATATTATTAGCATTATTTAAATCTTTCATTTTCGTAATCAATCGTCAAATTAATTTACATTCTTACAGTGATATTATTTTGCGCTCGAATACATAGTTTACAATGTAACTTGAATATTCAAGATCAGACTGTATGAAGAGAATATATATGATAGATTATAAGTTTATCACACACAATAAAGCTATGAAGGAGTAGATGGAATATTGCTAACATTGATATATATTTTTGTGCGTGATAAGAAAGCTATCGAGATGGTGGAAGGCGATTAGAAGGCTAACTTAGAATTTTATAGTTCTCTCTTGTTCCACGTATAAACAAAGCGAGAAAGGAGGATTCTCAGAAAAGTTCCCAGGCGAGAAATAAGAAAAATGACTATACCGGGTTTACACTCTACTTTATTGTTGGAATATTAAACCGCGCGTTTAGCTTTTATCAGGGAATGGAAGTAACTCGTTACTTGTAACGAAGTTACAGTTACAAGTTACTTTTTTGGTAACTTTACTAGTAACTGCGTTACTTTTTTTCTTTGGTAACTGTAACGGTAACGAAGTTACATTTTTTTGGTAACGGTAACGAATTTTACAGTTA